CAGTTGTGAAGCCGCTTGTTTTATATATATATATATATATATATATATATATATATATATACATTAGGTCAGACAATGACTTCGTTCCAGTAGTGGGACTGAACAGCGAAATTTTACTTGAATTCATACTACTTACAACACTATTCAAGAAACCAGCCATCGTGCCGCAGATCCGTGCAGCTCATACTTTTTGTTCGGTCCGTAGGATGCGACCTATGGCCAACACGAACGTGGTATCCAGTCAAATACTTCTGTCGAACGTTGTCTGATATTTTTCCAGTGGGACTGTGAGAGAGGAGCGTAACCAGAACACGTCCTTAACTTCATGTACAATTCAAACGGACAACCCAACTGGAGGAAGATCAGAGCATTAGATTTACACAGTAATCCAGGTGCATTCCACAGGTTATACAAAATAATCTACCAAAAAATTTGACGGATTTATTGCTTCAAACTTTAACACCCCACAATTGCCAGGGTGGTGCCAGGTTCTCTGTTTACACATTATCTCAAAATCTTAGAAAACTGGAGGGAGACGCAATGGTCATACTTCAACAGCTCAAAAGTATATGATCAGGCACCTATTATCGGTAGTTCTTCTATCTCACTCACGCATCGGTAATGATTCCACGCTGGCACAAATCGATAGCGCAGTGGTGGATCGAACATCTGATTGATTTTCATAGGTTCTAATTGCGAAATCGATTATAACCTGGTGTGTCTAATAGGTGACTTCACATGCCGTTGTTCGGAATTGACAGAATGCTATCCACCGATCGGACGAGGTTTGGTTCTCGTTCGGACACAATATCATGGAAAGAGGAATATGCGTTATTTGAACGAGGAATGCGGGAGTTTAGAAGCCTAACAGAAGTTTTTAAATCAACGGTATGCAAAGTTAACCGAATGAGTAATTTGTGCTTATCTTAGACAAGATTTGCCAGTCTACTTGGAGATGCTATGTCAATATCAGAATTACTGGTTGCGTACAAGCTCAGCTCACGTTTGTGTGAGAAAATTGTGGAAAAAATCGTCAGCAAATCAACGGGCATCCAATCAAAGAATACAACTGCAAACTTGGATGATCAGACGGACCCTAGAAATGCGAAAATAAAGGTAAGTCAAGGTTAGCTATTTTGGTGACGTTGTGCCGCACTAAATGAGTTAAATCGAGTCCCATATCCGTTCGTATGAGGTTGAATGATGTTTGGAGTTTTCGAAGCACTTACTAAGGCGGAACATCGATCACCACCATTAACCTTTTAAGCTAACTCTAAAGACAGGCCTTCTTTTGTTAGTCAGACATTTTTGTACCCGATCGAACGACTTTACGAAGATATTGCATTCTGACTATTCATAAAATGCAATGAATACGTCCCGTCCTTCGGAAGGATATTATTGCCTATACCCGAGGATAAATAAATTCCCTATCAAACTGTTGTATTTCGGCTCCTCACTGACAAAAAATCTTGTGTACTGCCAGGTGTATACTGTCTTACCCGATAAGCCTTTTACAACCGGTATTTTTACAGAGAATCGGAAATCATTTGTATCTGTCGACATATATGGGCTACTTCTCCACGCGCGGGTCCATATTTGCTCACGAATATACCATCACTGTCCAATATTTTAGTACTCCGTTTCAACAGTCGAAAATTACACAGGTAAAGGGCTACTGTCAACAAGTATCTTTTGACAAAGAACACTTTGTCTTAGACTGGTGATGTTTCTCTCTATATGGTTCTTGTTACATTTTTTAGCCTCATCCATATTCCCATTCAGTCGGTTGTCTTGATATTAATATGAAGTTGCGATTCTAACTCAATGGGTTCATGAAATATCGACAAAAAGTAGACGATGCCCCTCTGCAGTAGCTCCCCCCCCCTGTTGACTGTCCCTGGGTAGTCTGAAATCAATGGAATGTTTACCTAACTCCATCAAAAGCCTCTCATCGTCAAGAAAACACTACTGTAGGATATCAGAATGTTTATTCGGTGGGGATGTTTCTCCATGGCATGTGTGGCTAACGAAGAAGTTACTCACTTTCCACATTATACCAGTGAAATTTCTGCTTTGTAAGATCATTTCAAACAGAGAAATATACTAATTTGCAAACAAATTCGGCTTTGCGAGACTCATGTGGAACCCAGCTAAATCTCTTGTTTATGATGTGTTTCAAACTGCGCAACGGACCTTTCAATTCCGCTGAAATGAGTGTCCCAAAGAAGCAAAAATATTGCGAACCGTGACTGGTACACATTAAGTCAACGTGGTTAGCTTGCTTTAATGTTATCAGCTTTATCGTTTTGGTTGTTATGAACTCATGATCTTTGAAACGCAAGTCAAGTCAAGTCAATTAAAAGAGAGGCTTTTACACTTGAGAGGCGAAACCCCAGTAAATATGAAATAAACTACCAAGTAAGTAATTAGGTAATTAAGTGTAAATGGCAGTTGATATGTGACACTTTCGGTTTATGGCTGCAAAAAGAAGCTCGAAGTGTTGTCAGTCTATCAAACCTATATCAAAGCCATCGAGTAAAAGGGGTACATTCGAATCGCTAACCAACCAACAAGTAGCTATGCTTCCCCACCTGTCTAGTTTTCTTGAGCGTACAAGCTGGCAGTAAAAACAGACCTATAATTATTTAAGTGATCCGAAATGAATCCAAAGGGCTAAACTAGAACTGAAATAAGTTGGTATCAATGTGTTGTAACTAACTGTAAACTCCGCTCCATTACCTTGGTATGGGAAAAATACTCACCTACAAGGAAAACAGCTTCATTTCGAAGAAACGAGTGCAAAAATTACGAGAAACATTACGCCTTGTATAGCGCACTTTTTAACTTGAATCCAGGCTGCCCAATCGGTATTGCTTCTATGACATGACTGAACACTCGTAATCGTCGGTCATTGCTGGGCTGATTGACTGCTTGAGCGTCCGAATGCTTGACGACTTACCTACTACGATTTCGGTGGTTTGTGAGTCGTAGTAGGCTTCGGGCATTCTAGGACTATTTTCAGGAATCCGAACTTCCTAACAAAACGAATGCACACTTGGGTAACCAGAAAACACTATTATTAAGGCATCAGATGGTTCATTTGTGAACTGTATGCAGCACCAAAGGCTGCTGCGATTCAATCTACTACTCATGATGAGTCATTGTCAATCAAACAAATCGTTGTCTTCTGCCCCGAATTCAGGGTGACGGAAAGCAACAAGAGATAGAGCAGAGCAGAATAAGGAAGACCACGAAAAGTCTGGATTCTTTCAGTGCTGTACACTTTTCGCTAACCACTTAGCTGGAGAATTTGGCTGCAACAATGCAGTCATTTTCTGTGTAGACTCTATTAACCAGTGTTGTAAATTCATTTTGGCACTTGGACAGTACTGTCCACTTTAAAGATGTAGATCCTAATCCGAGATGACTGCACTTTAATCGTCTTATTCCACCCGAAATTCTGGTGATCTCCAACAGCTTTTGAGCGATTATACTACGAGGGGCTTTTTGAAAAACTACAAAAATGTGTATGTTTGTTCGCAGATTTCATATATTCTCAGACGATGCTACTTTTCTACTTCTACTTATTACCGCCTTCAGTGACCCGCATCGCCCTATTTTAGTAATGGGTTCAGACACATCACCAGCACACTGGACTCTACCGTTAGTGATTGTGGTTTCCCGATTGTAGTTGTGTTCAACCCGCCCGGAAACTTACGTTTAATCCTCTCACTTCACCCTTTCGATCCCTTTCAATACTGACTTGATCCAACGGTTCTCTTTAGGATTCGTTGTCTTCTAATAGTTTTTCTTTTCGCCAGTCGTCGAAGTGGTTGAAACTCGATCCTTAGAAAGGCTGCGTCTTCCTTCCGTACCCTGGAATCCTTCTCTCCGTTCTAGTTATTGATAAGCCACAAACCTCCAAAGTTGTTTTTTGTATTGATTAAGGCCACCACCTAAATTCCGCTTTGGGATCAGATTCAACCAAAAGTCTGAGCCTTCTGAACTGACGGATAACCTTCATTTCTCTTCTCATTGGCGAAAAGTACTCTATTGATATTGCCATGTAGTGTTTTTATAAGCTCACATTTTCTGTCCTATCTCCATCCATCCTTTTTGGGCTGCTGTTGCGCGTTATCCCATAGAACGGCGCAAATCTGAAACGCTGTAGCCCTCTCTGTTTCTTTCTCTGGTTGCAGTCACAATCGTTCAAAACTCGGATTATTGCTTAGCTTCCACATGTGAGATTTCTCACTGTTCATTTCTCAAGTGTCTAAAGTGCTGTTTGTGCTTTTTCTACTTACCAAGTATCCTTACTCTCTTGTCCTCTTGGATGGTCTATAGCTTCGGATTCTTCCTTCTTCCGTAACCTACTGACTTAGCATTAAAAATATTGTATCAGTGAATGTTCGCAGGCGTAGGCAACTTGGGTACAATTAAATTCATCGCATCAGACGTCCCGATGAGTTGATCACCAGCAGAAAGAACGAAAAAAACTAAATTTTGGACTAGTATAGTGTTTTTACCAAAATTCACTGTTGTAGCAGCTGGGTGCCAATTTTCATCCATAGACTATGACACGAAAGACATTTGTGCATCGCAAAACTCCAAAGTAAACAACTGCTTAAAGCAAACAACATCGCCTGTAGGCGCAGAAGCCAACACTACCGTTTCCTTGAGGTGGCAAAGCGAATTAATCTGAATTATTCATGAAGGAAACTACTCACAAGGTTGCTGAAAACTCTTCGACGTCTCACGACCGGGACTCATCAAGTGGGTGCAATCCCCGAGTTTCCATCAACCTCATGTTTTGCTTGAACCCAAATTGAACAGGAATACAATCATTCGGAAATCAGTTTGGTTTTCACGAAAGACCCAACTGAATCCCTCGTTTATGATATCCAGTTGTAGAAGATCATAAACGAGAGATTCAGTAAGATCTCTCGTGAAAACCAGATCGAATTGCAAATGAGTGTATTTCTCAATAACCTGAATTATGTTCCCAATCTGAGGCAGGGGTTCCTAGTAGAGGTTGAGATCAAACCTTAATTTAATCCAGCACCATTAATCGTAACTTAGGCTTTTTCATCCCAAATGAGACAATTTTTCTTCCTCGTCTAAAAACAATGCTGTCTGCGGTCATATTAAGAGTTCGGTGGCTATTGATTAGTATGGATTAACTGCGAATAAATATATAATAATGGATGACGGCTATCCTTCCTGGGTGCATTCATACTCCGCAACAGACTCTTTCCCTTCATTGGTTTGAAACTAGAAATTTGAAAGTGCGTTATATTCAAATGGTATCTTGTAAAACTGCGCACCCAAATATCTATTCGCTTTTGGTCTGCCTAAAGAAGACTGGGTTGGCGATATTTGCTGCAAGTACCGGACAATGATTTGCCCGCTCATTTCTTGCCCTCAATTTTAATTTTTTTACTTATTTTTAATTTTTTTCTACTTCAAGTGAGCTTTAAATGACAATGGTGAAAACTATTCGCCCATTCTCTTGGCACTACCTCTTATGTAGGGAAAAGGTTGATGAGCGAC